CATATTATTAAAATCACATGTAGATGCTGCGTGAAGAGCAAATATTTTGTACGTTATACGATGAAAATCTCTGTACAATTTGCTTCCATATTGTCTTCATCATTGTTAATATTTTTAATAGTATAAAATTACAAAAATAACGTTTTTTTAATACCGGTTTTATCTACTGTTTATCAGCATTTTTTGTGGATAACAGTATACTACTGATCAAAAGCAAGTAGAATGAGTCTAAATGCATCTACATTTTTTTCAGTCTGTAACCATGGTAACAGATTTCCAGTTCTAGTGAGAAGTCGTGACCAGTGAGGTCCAATTAGAAGTCACGTGTGGATGGATTTCCACCAACGACAATAGTTGGGGTCGCGCTAAAATCACGAATTGGTAGAAGTTAGAATTCATGAGCCATTGAATCGGGTCCCAGTGGCTGAATGGTATACGAGCCAGCTTACCTTGTAACCGGAAGGTCCTGGGTTCGAATCCCAGTGGGTGCGTACTGCCGATGATTCCCAAACTAGGATGAAACAGCAGCTGTCCAGTACTCCCTGGTTTTCAATGGTTCTCTAACTGATATCAGTCCGTGATCAACTCGTAAAACATAACTAATCCTTACAAGCCAAACTATAGAAAATAATGTATAAATATTCTATGTAGCCCTGGAATAATCATCTATACGGTGGCCTAATTAAGATTTAAGCTGCCGAAAAACCAGCGTCATTATGTTGGATGAAATTTCTCTTCTAAAGCTTATTTCAATCTCTTCATCAAATATCTTCAAATAAAAAATTCTATGTCAATGAATTGTGTGACATAACACTATCTCATCAAAATCAAAAAGCGAACCTTCATGTTATTTCGTTTACCTCGATAAATGCGTGAAATTGGGTTGAAAGACAATTGTAAAAAGTTCCAGAGTACATTTTCAGACACAAGAATATGGTCCAGGAACACTTACTTTAGGTACCAGGATACGTCGCCTCCAAAGATTATGCCATTTCTCAAGTTTAGGAGAAACCCTTGAATAAGCAGGATGTAAGCAATTTAAAAACACGCGACAGAAGATAATTCCATTAGAGTATATAAGTCCGAACCAGGCTGACTTTCAACAGTTTTCAAAAGTTTGGGCATTGGGTTTATGATATTCATTATAATTAACCTTTTTGTATTTCCCAATGAATGAAAGACAAAACGACATTGTTTTTACTGACGTTTCGCTGTTTAATGCTAATGGCTTTATCAAAGTATTATCAAACCAGAATTTGCAAAATCTCAGCTTATATATTACAACTTAATCATCGTTTCTCAGCATGGGGTCATTTTTCCGTTGTCCAATTGACGAAATGGTAAAGACAACAAAACCAGGTGTACACTGTTGGTTTTGATAAGTATGTAAAATTATAAAGGCAGCGTGTGTTAACATGATGAAATTGCTCATTACATTCGTGTTGATTTTGTCAATTCAAGGGTGTGTATGTATGTTGTAACCCCGTCAAATTCTGTTTTAGTCCATCATCATTCAGGCAATTTGGATTCCACTTGATATGAAGTGCTTCTGATATAAGACGTTCTTTGTGATTTATGAAATTTCTGTGAATTATTTCAATATTTTCAACACCTGGATTTGTTATCTTTACCAATTCGCCAATTTGACAACGGAAAAATGTCCTCATATTGAGAAACGATGATTAAGTAGTTATAAATAAGATGAGATTTTGTAAATTCTGGTTTAATAATACTTTGATAAAGGTATTAGCATTAAATAGCGAAACGTCAGTAAAAACAATGTCATTTTGTCTTCCATTCATTAGGAAATACAAAAAACCTTCATTATAATGAATACCATATACCCAATGTCCAAATTTTCTCAAACTAATAAAAGTCAGAGTGGTTCGGACATATATACACTCCTGCAATTATCTACTGTCGCGTTTTTTCAAGTTGTTTACATCCTGCTTATTCAAGGGTTTCTCTTAAACTTGAGAAATAGCATAATCTTTGGAGGCGACGTATCCTATTACCTAAAGTAATTGTTCCTGATTTATATTCTTGGGTCTAAAAATGTACTCTGGAACTTTTTACAATTGTCTTTCAACCAAATTTCATGCATTTATCGAGGAAGACGAAATAACATGAAGGGTCGCTTTTTGATTTAGATCTGATAGCACTAAGTCACATGATACCTTGATGAATAATTTTTTATATGAAGATCCTTGATGAAGAGAAAAAACCATGCAATAAACCCTGTTAAAATTTTGAACGTTTTACAAAATAAAGGCATAAATTTTGCGAGTTGATCACGAGTTGTTGTCAGATAGAGGACTACTGAAAACCAGGGAGTACTGTGCAGGTATCCAGTATAATGGTTGTCTAGCCGATATCAATCCGTGATCAACTCATGAAAACAAATCTAATGCTTTTATTTAATTGAATTTTAGATTTTCCCGTCGATTGATTGGACCGAAGTGCTTGGTCTCAGGTTGACATGTCGGCTTCTTAGGCATATACTTCAAAGATGTCTGGGCATGTAATTGGAAGTTAATTGGTGGATGGTGACTATCAGTGGAATCCAGGATGCGCATTTCGTCCTGTTTGGGACTCTTCTAATCTTATCCTTACAAACCAACCAAATTATGGTTAAACTGTTTAGCTGTACATTTCTTCTTTTTGTTTCACTCTCTGTTTAAAATTGTTCATTCGAATCTGTTTATTACTCACGTGTACATTCGCCAATCACCATCAACGGGAGGGATTCGAAAGAGGTTACTTCATTCACTTATCTAGGGAGCATTGTCTCAACTACACGAGGAACGAACGAGGATGTCAAAGCGAGAATTGGGAAGGCGAGAAACACATTCATCAACCTGAAACCAATCTGGAAATCTTCGTTACTCAACATCAACAGCAAAATTCAGATTTTCAATACAAACGTCAAGTGAGTCAGTTCTTCTATACAGATCAGAAACTTGGCGGGTCACAAAGAATATTTGCAACAGCTTATTGCAGACCTTTATCAACAACTGTCTTCGCTCTATACTCAAGATCAGATGGCCGGAAAGAACAAGAACCAACAAGAAACTATGGGAACAAACAAAACAAGAACCAATCGCCCAACAAATATGCAGGAGAAAGTGGAGATGGATTGGACACTCACTGAGGAGGCCGCTGGTTGACATCGCGCGTCAGGCCATCGCTCGAGTGGAACCCGAAAGGGAAGCGGCGAGTGGGACGTCCCGGGGTGACATGGAGGAGGTCGTGTGAAGAGTAGTTGAAATAGTATGGACTAACATGGATACAGGTGAAAATTACGGCAGGAGACAGAAGCAAGTGGAGACGTGTAGTTGAAGCCCTACGTTCCACTAGGAACCTAAGGGAAAAATAATAATAAATACATTCGCGTGTTATGTATATCCCTAAGCAGATCACCACTGACACAGTTTTACTGTTGTTTTCTTATTGACAATTGGTGACAGCACTTTTGGGGGTAAATTATTTTGAACTTTATGTGTAACTCAAAAATGTAATCGAAAGTACAGATCAGATCTCTTGGAGGAAATCTGCACCAATACCGTTTTCATTGAATGTGAAAGACACTAACACTTCTGTTTTGAAAATTATTTGTAATATCAGACAATAATGAGCAATGCCACTGACATGTAATTTAGTCATCTATTTATATACACGTTTTATGATCTTACTTTTGATTATTTCCCTGGAAATATTTGGAACAAAACATTTGTGTTTATATTCTTCCATTTTGTTAGAATTTCTAGAATAATTTTTCCTAATGGCAGGGACTGGTACAGTTTATTACCAGTCCTAGTAATACTTATGAAAATATGAACAGTACACAATTATTTACCATTATTGTACGAAAAACTGAACATTTCAGTTGAATATGAAATATGACTAGGAACATTTGGGTGTTTGAATGGATTTTTTCAGAACGTTGAACATTAAGTAAAATGTAGTCAGGTGTTTATTTTTAAGTCGAAATCTATCTGTGGGACTATCCTAGACTACTGCTATAATTCTTTGTAAGTCTCATATACTAAAATCTACTTAAATTCACAGTGATACCGCAGAAAACATACTTTTAATTCATAAAATCATACGACGAGTTTTCCTTCGCGCAGTTTGTATTCTTTGTGTAGATTTAAGTAATGACCAACTGTTCAATGAGTTTTTGAAGTAGATGAATATCTGAAAACAGCACAAAGGGTTACTAACTAGACACGTCGGAAATAGGACGAAATATGCCTCCTGGATTTCACTGCTAGTCACCGTCCACCAGAATAATTCAAGTTGAATCCTCAAGCATGGTTGAAGCATCCATACTAGAGGGCAGCATGTCAATATAGGCCGAACACTGAGGTCTAATCAATCAACGGGAGAGTCCGAATTGACTGAAATAATACCTGACATCGGTTGCACAAGAGGTGGCTAACATGGCCCAAGTGGTCCAGTGGATAACATTTTGATATTTGAAACGATGGCTACTGGGTTTATGACTCGGTAAGAGCATCATCACTCACTGGAGAAGCCAGTAACTTTCAGGCGATGAGTCGCAGATAGGACGAAATACGCATCCGGGATTCCACTTCTACTCATCACCCAGTAAACTACTTTGTAAGCGTGGTCGACGACGCCTTCTTACGTGGATTACATTTAATATTTTTCGAGGTAATGACTTAGATAAATAAACTAAATCAAACTTCCCAACTGCCACATGATACTTTCCGAGTTGTTCCAAAACAGCAGACGGTGGTTTGTTTTGTGTATACCTAGTTAGCCATCATCATAATCAGTGTTTCGGTTAAAAAACAAGAAATGGAAGCCAATTTTACTAAAGAACTTTGATTTGACTAACAAAACTATGTAGCGTTTATTTTCGAATAAAAATTCACAATTTTCCGCTGTATGTCTACATTTAATTAAAAAACGAAGTGCGTGAAAATACATGTGAAAAACATTTTACTGTCCACGAATAAAATAAAAAGTTACAAGGTACTTTCATACCTTTGGTACTAGAAATTGAATACATTCTCATAGGCGCTAAAGTACAATTTGAAGTGTGAAGAATGAAAATGATTCAGCTATAAATAAATAAATAAATATGTGACTACTGTGTATACAGTTGTTTGGCATAGTTTTTTTTCACAAGTAAGTAATTCGTGTGTTTTCATTTGCTGGCAGTCTTATCGTCATGTTATCCATCAGAATTTCGAGGGCCTCATGGTGCATGGGGCATTTGACAAAAAAATATGCAGACAAGTCAAAATTATAGTTAATTTTCATTTTACAAGCAGTATGTACTGATTAGACTGCGATGTATTTCAAGGTGTTTGCCAGTGATACACTGAAATCGTTGAGGCGCATTTTGCAGAGTGCCCGCATTGTATGTAAACAACACATTTCTACATGATCTAGCCTGCCGCTTCATGTTACTGTTACATGAAGAGAAGTTTTTTAAAATAAGATTCTTTAGGAATCGGTGTGACAGTACACATAATGTGAACTCTTCCCAGTGGTTTAAATAAAAGGTAGCACTAGTCATATGTCAATGCTGTCTTTCATATTTTATCACATCCCTTTCTACGTCAACGATGTGAGAAATACAAGCAGTTCCTTTTTTATCAAATGTCCCTACCTAATCGAAGGAGAGAACAAATCCCTGGAGTGGGACATTTCCAGGATTTTATGAAACAGGTGGGAATTGTCGGCAAATAGTTAAGGGAGTATCAAAGAGAATACTTTCTTTCTCATTTTACAATCGTAAAATATTTCATAACATCTTATTAAACTTCTTTTTCCATACAGAAATGATGTATGACGCAGTACTCGCTTTCCTGTAAGTTATTGCATTCTGTTCATTTTGAAATACTTGTATTAAAATAATACGAGTGAAAAATTTTCGGCGTCAACGATGTGTTTGTGAAACTCAAAAGACTCATTCTTGTAAACGCATGCAACACGGATCTAAAGCAGTTATTGAATTCAACAGAATCCGTGTCAAAGATCGCTTTCCAAATAATTCTTCTTGCTTCAGGCAGGGTGATATCCTTACATATACTTGCTAGCTGCATGAAAAAACATTATTCCTAATTAGAATATTAACAATATGAAACAATTCATAAGAACTATCGTCACGATTTCACAGAATAGTTCTAAAATATTTGGGCGCCGAGTGAGAAGTAGACATTTCTAAAAAATTATATTTGTAACACCTCAGCGAAATTGAAATGAGTAATTCCAACGTTTCGAGGTCAAATTTTGATCACAGCTCATACCATTTTGTTTGTTTATTATATTTTGATGACTGCTTTATGACTCATGATGGGACAAAGTGTTTTAAAAAAACAAAAGATGTTCCTCTTATATATAAACCTCTATTATGTTAATTTCAATTATTCTTGATTATAGCTTGATTCCACACCGTATTTTTGGTACAAGTATGGAATTTTCAGCATGTGATATCGGTAGCCCAAATTTTGCAGCCTGACCTTTGATATCAGGTATGCGCCGGCAGGGGATTGAACCCCGGACTATGTTCATGGTCAGCGACAGTCCTAACGGTTGTGTTGCCAACGCACAATTTCGGACCAGATTGCGGAACGAAACGTTGGAATTAATCATTTCAATTTCGCTGAGAATTTACAAATATGATTCTTTACAAATATGAAGTAATGTTGGAACCAAATCTCTCTTACCTGAGAAACATTCATATAAAATCCGTGGTGTTACTCAACGGTGATAAACACATGCTGTCGGGTTACTGAAGCTCAGAAATATAACGTAGTCGAGGTTATTACACCCTCAATGAATAAGAACTTTTCGAAAACCCAGCCATTAAATTATATGCAGTCCCTTAGTTTATGAAATGAATTAACACACAAAGAACCAAATTTTCCTTTGTCGAGTTATCTTAAAATGTATGTCACAGGAATAACTCAGCCGCTGTGGCTATCACATATGACGTAGGAAAGAGATGAGAAGGAATTATGAAGAACACCAAGGCCTGAATGGTGTGAAACTACTACTGAAATGAATTTGACCAGGTAGTTGTAGTCAATTAATTATCTAGTCAATAGTCTAGTGGTGTATCAAGTAGAGAATATGAAAACGAAACCGAATAATACCCTAGTCTGATGAGGTACACATATATGAATCAGCGTTCAAAACTGACTAGTTTTAGTTTCATTTGTCTTTCAGGGGATTAATTGTAATTCTTAATACACTACTGGTCCCAATGTTCGGAATCAAATCAAAAGTTGGATGCCTGATGTGTGCAATATTGGTAGGTGTTTTAAGTGAGGCTGCATTAACCATTTATTTCATCCTCATCGGAATGTTGCTCTGAATTTAAAAATAGTTTTGGCTCATCTGTTTGCACTACAAACAGACTATAAAGAATGATTTGATAAGTTATTTCTTAATTAACAATTATGAGGTTTGAAAAATTGTATGACAAAGATTAACCAACCCAAAACTGTTTCTTTTCTTTATGAATTCGGATAAATGTGAAACTCGTCGTAAGAAACTACACAAGTTTCATCTACATGTTGAGCTTTAAATCTTCTGCATTATTTGTTAGCTCTACGCTCATCTCAAAAATGTTGTTTCATGTAAACGCTTGCCTACTTATATCAACAATTAGCCCTTATATGGGCCTAATTTTTGTCACAGGTCGATAGTTAATTCCACTCTGCTGACAGGAAGGAGGTATGGCTCCAGATAAAGAAATGTAGAAATATGCTAAGAATGACACAGTAGACGCTTTCTCAACACACCAACAACTGGAGTAGAATAAGCTGCGGCTAAGAGACACGGTATCAAATAATTATACCACTATCCGGAAAGGATCATCGCAGAAGAAGCCACTGAAATATATCTAGGGCATTCCTAAGTGCAAAGACAGAAGACAAAGAAAACATCGAGGTTATTACTTCAGGGAACTCTCCAGTCAAATGATGTCTGCTAATTACCCAGGAAAACCACAAGCAGACGGCAGCACCGAACGTCGTCGTGAAAAAAACTGAAAAGTAAGCTGAGTGGCATGCTTCTCTCAGAACCAATTGAATCAGGGTAAGCGCAATCATTTACTGATAAAAATTGAAACAATGTGCAACATCATAGGACACAGCCTCGAATACCAGCCGACACTGGATCTCAAATTGATCAACTTTGAAACTTTGCCTTCAACAGTGACAAAACGTGAAATAATTTTGGAGATGGCCTCAACACAAGGGAATGCAGTGCTGTAAGTACCTATAAACTTTTATCCATTAGCTGCATCGTGATACCATACCACATCATGTGAAAGACAAGTGAAAGCTCAGTCAAGCATTTGAAGTGAAGACACTAGGAAGACCAGGCAGCCTACTATCATCAATGATCTTCCTGTTTATGATGGAATGGATAGTGCATCAGGAAGTGGTGAATGAATAGACGGTATACACTGAACTGAAAAATTGCCATCAAAAGTTATGAAATTCGCAGGCTGATATATTTACATATGTATATATATATATATGCAAAACATCTCACATACTCCAAGGCAAACAGTTGGCAACCAACAATTTGGTAGAACCAACAATGATGTCAGAACCTAGAGTGAACATAGAGAAGACAGGGGTGATGAAGATATCCCAAATATCAAGCAGCATCAGTGGAAGAGATCCAGAAGAAGAAGTTATTTCTCACCCACTGGGTTAAGCGCGGCATTAGGTTGGACAGATATGGATCTATTACACAGCCAGAATGCAGTCAGGGAGGTGAAACAGGTAATAATTGTTCTGAAACCAAACTGCCAAACTGTCGCAATTGGCCCAAAGAAGAATTTCCGATTTTTCAAAGCCAGTGTGAAGTCAGCGATTTAGAATACCTTAGAGTCGGCGCTTTTTAGTAAACCAAAGCAATTAAAAAGGTCAGCTTTTAACTTTCACCAGCAGCTGCATTCCTTTGTTCGATATTGAGAATCAGATGCCTGGCCGGAAATGATAAACTACAAGGAATTCTGGTTGGTGGTCAATCACCTGGGAGTCTATTCTCCAAAATATGTACAAAATGAAAGGGAGTTGTATTTTATATTAGCTTTGATGGCCGTTCAGTGATATCACACTCTGAGCGTTCGAGTGTGAGTCGAAGAGAATATGATCAGCTGGGCATTTTAGTATGACATGGAGTTGATGATGTAGAGAAGAAAGGAGAGCTTGTGATCAATTCCTGTAAGTAGATGAGATTAATGAAGGGGAAACGGAAGGCAAATGCGGATGTGGTTCAGCAGCTTTGTGTTACATTGTAGTTGTAAGGAAAAGGTGATTAATATTAATAATTTCCCGATATTTTCTCATTAAGCATTCTGTCCTCAAATCAATGATGGTGAGGCGGATTCATTCTTTTTTTTGGTGATAAATGTGCTGAGTTGTTTCTTATAATTTTCCTAACTTGAATTATGCGTAGATTTGATTAATGTTTTCATTTAATCATTCTAAGCTGCATTATTTATTATGTGGGCAGGTTATATTGTGGACTTTGGTTATCTGTTTGCTGTGTTGCGAAAAGTTGGAATCTGAGTGCTATGCTTTAATCGCCTTTGCTGTTATAGAAGACATATTAACAATCTTATTCATCCTCCAAAGCAGAAGATTAATTAAAAAAGTAGAAGCCACCTTGCTTATTTTATCTACGGCATGTTGTATAACTGCTACAATTTTGTATTATGTAAAGAAAGACAGTGTAAGTGAGTAGTTATTATGTTGAGTGAACAGTGGACTGTGGATATTTGTTCTAATAAGAGCCAGTATATTATTTTTCATTTATATAGTACCAGCTATTCCTTTTTGATTTGTATTTCATTACATTGATGGCAGGTTTTCCTAAATATATTCTGCAAAGTATAGCAGTTGTCCAGCATATCATAAATCTCGCCAAATCCATCCATCTAGCAGATTGTATTTCAGGCATTCTTATGCTTGACTCGCCGATAACTAAGAAACTTTCCATCAGAAATTCTAGTGATTTATGAAGCTCCGCTTTATCCCAAAGTTGCAATTGCCTTGAGATTCTGGTCCGAGGTGATATTAGTTGGAAACAGTCACTTAGTTTCCATTTCCATGTCAACATCATGTCAGATTAATGGCGCTTTCGAATCTTGCTCATTCATTTCCTCAGAGACCCAACAAATCATGGTATTCCCGTTGACTCTGACATAACCTTAAGTTTGCTTGAAACATAGAAGATAGCATTGATGACATTTTGAAAATATACATTTACCTCTTGCTTCTTTGCTTTCATGAAGCGTCGAGGTCAGTCACCCAATCATATCAACTTGCATGGTGTATATATATTCCTTCACACTTTATCTTCTAATTTATTTTTCGTTGCTTATTTTATCAAAAATCTAAACGTCACTATCCTCATTATATATTTTAGCCGCTTTTCAGATCATTGGCAGGAGGTTTCTTGAACACGGCTACATGTTCTGTAAGTTCAAACTGACTCACGTTTTGTATTTTTTTCTTTTGAATTATGAAAGCCATTGCTGAACCTTCTCTTGTTCTTTTCTCATAAGTGAACCGAACTATTTCAGCTCTCTGCTGCAGAGTGACTTAAAACAGGAAATTAATAAAAAATGGATTTTCATGTCAGTTTATCGCTCCATTTCTAATAGTTTCAATTATCCAGTTACCACTTAGAATCGAAATCTACACTTGTGTACATTTTAAAATAGGTTTGTGGTTACCACCTCAATGGATGTTTTGAAAGAGACAGAAGGAAGGGGTTTCAGAATTTTGGAACATGCCTTAGATGACATATTACCGATAGCTACATTGTTTGAAGATTCTTAGCCAGGAGATGATAGCTCGCGATGAGAAACTCTTAAGATACGGTACTTCAAACGGACGCACTTTTCAGAATAAAGCTAAACTGACAAGATACCATAGACTTCGTGTACAACATTCTTATGCATTTGATAAAACAATTCATATTAAATGCATCACTTATTTTTTATAACGAAGCCAAATCACAAACTAGTTTAAATGCTTGAAAATCCCCATTGAGCCATATGAAAAAGAGAAGACGTTCACCGAAGAGACTCTTTTCGGCGAATTCATTCACATAGCTGTACAATCGCATTCATATATAATTATTTGTGTGTGTGTGTACATGAGGTTTCTCAAGTTTAGATAATTGATCAGGTAATACAAGAATGATCTAATGTAGAAACAAAGTTAATCAGACAGCAACTAAAGTGAGATTGAGTTAGTAAGTTAGATGACATAATTTAATTGACTAAAATGTTTCAACTTGGATCATGGTAGCAACAGAGGTAATGACAGGCAGAGACTAAGTAGAAGTGAAATTGAACAAATAAGTTGGATGACGTAACATAAATGACTAGAAATTGAGCGATGTTCAAGTCAGTAACAGTGGTAGTGAGGTGTAGAAATTAAATCGAGTGGGGTAGAGAACAAGAAAGTTGAAAATGTAAAATATTACAATTGAGCAGACAAAATAATACTAATGAAGAGACAGAAAAAAAAAGGTTAGGTAGAATTTACTTGTCGGCTAATAAAATAGATTACGTCCATTTCAAGTGTAGTGATTGAACGGACTTCTTCTGTATGCAGAGTTCAGGACTTAGCAAGTGAATCGCTATTGCTTCTGCAGTTTGAAGAAGTCTGATTTGTACACATTTAGGTAGACTACTTCCTACTCTGTAGACGAATTTGAGGTTTGTTTGCGGTGTAGGTTGGTGTCCGGATTCTATCAGATGTTCTCAGATGTAGCTGCGGGGGTATCGTTTTTCTCCTTTGTAAAACCATGTTGATAAGTGTTCGGTGATACGTTTGGAAAGCGAGCGCTGAATACGGTACCTGTGGAGCCAGGTATGTAGGCCGTACCCAGCGCCAAATCACAAACTAGTTTAAATGCAACAGAAACTTTAGAATCTCATATAATCATGTTTTGTCTTTTGTAGACACTGCTGCTTTTCTCAAACTTTGTTAAATGAATATTCCATCGAAACTAATATCTCGAGGTACCTTGCAATTTTGACGACACTTGGTGATATATTAACCTGCAAGTCTACAGGTGAATCAAATGACAATAAACATTTCAAATTCAAAAAAATATAAAATGATAGCATGGTTATTTCGCTTTTATGTGTGTACTATATCTTCTGAAAAAGAACAATTCTTTTATAAAATATTTTTATGTGATAGCGACTGCATCATGAAATTACGGAATACACATATTGGATTATAGGAATTATCAAAAAGACGGTTGCAGCGAAGAAAAGACTGTACATTCGTGTATTTATGATAAATGAGCGGGAAAGTTCCAGAATAACTTCCGGTCAATTGTCAAATTATTAAAATAAAAATTAAAAATTGAAATGCCATAATAAACAGGGGAACGGATAAAGCTCAATCAAAGTAGCATCAAAATTACTGTGAAGATTGACATATTGTTCAATTGGGGGTTAGAAATTTAGAAATAACAACAAGAGACAGGATGTTTGGATAAATAATCTAGTGGGACCATGACTAATGTGATGTATAATTGTTTACGCAGTCAGGGATTAAATATGTAGAAATAATAAAATGACAAAACAGACAGGAAGTTCGGATATGAAAATATGGTAGTGTAAATCGGGAGTAAGACAACTTAAAAATAACATAAATAAACAGGAAATTTTGTTAAGAAAGGCGATAGGATGGTCATCACTAAAAGGATTATTTGCAGTTGTTGTCTATTTTCGTTATTTTTACATTTCTAACCCCCAATCGCACAATATTTCAATCTTCTCTGTAATTTTGATGCTACTTTGTTTGAGTTTTATCCGTTCCCCTGTTTATTATGGCATTTTAATTACTAATTGTAATTTTATTAATTTGACACTTGACCGGAAATTATTCTGGAAATTCCCCATCCATTTATCACAAATACACGAAAAGAAAATTTCATTTGCTGCAACATTCTTTTTCTTCATGAAAATACAAGTTTTAATGTGTATTAGTTAGGAATTGTAATGTGTCCGTGAACAATTCTGATAATCGGTAATTTGTGTGGCACTCATTTCCCGGCTGGAATTCACTAGTCTCAGTTTTCGTACACTGTGGAAGCTTTACATGAGTCCCTTTTGAATGACTTTCTATTCTGACACATAAATGCGAAATAGTTTAATAGTTTTGTTCCAAGTACACCTCAGTTTCCATTTTCTGAATAGTTTCAGAGTAACTGTGTTCTCTTAGCTAGCCGGTTAAATTGCGAAGCTTTCATAGTCTCCCTAAACAACAACTACAGAGGTACCTTCCAATGGAACTTGGGTTTAAGAAATCTCAACGGATGTTATACTTACCTCTCCTAAGGACTTTGACTGTGACTAGTTGTCTTCGGAATCTTTTATTGCAAGTGTTAATAAGAGTTGTTCCATTTACGATGTGACTTATTCTTCAATAATTAGTAAATAGGATTTGTATCCATAGGCTTGTGAATTGCAAACTGGTCTGGATACCAGGCTTCCAGTAAGAGACTAGACGGTTTTTTCCTTCTTAAAATGTCTCAGATTAGTTGATAACCATATTTTTCATAGTCGAATGATGTGAAAGAATGCGTATTGTGTCTTTTGATTGCCAGTTCGCCATCATGTACACCGAAGTAAAGAGAATGTCCTGTTTCTCTAGCTTAGAGATTTTCGCATCCTTCACAATTACCGTATAGATGGTTATTCTTTTGTCTCATTTTGGCAACGCAGCATTGAGTTTGCTTAACATAAGGTGAAACAACAGTTGTTTTATGGGAAATATTTCTTCTTAAGGGTCACTCTAAGGAAGCAAGGGCTTCATAAATATTCTTCATATATGCAACGTTATTTCTTAAAAGTTGCAGAGATCAATTTTTTATTATTCGTTGGACTGCAGGTACATATCTTTTAATAAATTCTCTTGGACATCCATCTTTTTCACGACTGAGACACTCGCCGACGATATTTTACCTTCTGGTTTCTCACACCTTGATGTCGCTGACAGTGCTATTGACTGTTAGTGCTTTCTAGGCAATTTTTTCTAAAATTGGCGAACCGTTTAAAGGTTGTTATATGGCTTCCAGCCCTAACTTTACATTTTCAATAATTAGTTTCGTTTTACCGTGCTGTTTTCACGTTATCATATATGTGAAAATTGAAATAACCATATGTCACAATGAATCAGTTTATAATTTCTATACACATGGATCACTGTGTTTGTGTGCATTTACGGTGGCATTCATCATCTCTGAGGTGTTCGTTTATATGTTACTTAACCAGCTTTCGGCCATTTGAAGTGTATAAGATTATGATATCAGAAGATGCAATGGCTTCATGATATTTTACTTCCTCAGGACACTGAGTTAAAGATTTGATATAATGTCTGCAGAAAATCATCAGTTATCCTATTTCGTTAAAAATCTCGTTAGAAAATTTGAGGGTATTGTGCGATTTGTGCTTCCTATTAAACTATGATAGGACGAGTCACTTAGATTTCATTCACACCAAATGATTTGATGAGTTTACGGAATGGCTAAGTGATTTGATTGTCTGATATTTTAGCTGCATCGGTCGTAATCAATTCAGTTGCGTTTTCATGTGTGAGACCTGAAACCAATCTGGAAATCTTCGTCACTCAGCCTGCATCAACAACAAAATTCGGATTTTCAATACAAACGTCAAGTCAGTTCTTCTATACGGATCAGAAACTTGGCGGGTCACAAAGAATATTTCCAACAGCCTGTTGCAGACCTTTATCAACAACTGTCTTCGTTCTGTACTCAAGATCAGATGGCCGGAAAGGATCACAAACAAGAAGCTATGGGAAGAAACAAAACAAGAACCAATCGCCCAACAAATATGCAGGAGAAAGTGGAGATGGATTGGACACTCACTGAGGAGGCCGCTGGTTGACATCGCGCGTCAGGCCATCGCTCGAGTGGAACCCGAAAGGGAAGCGGCGAGTGAGACGTGCAATGGTGACATGGAGGAGATCGTGTGAAGAGGAGCTGGAACAGTATGGATTAACATGGATGTAGGCGAAAAGTGCTGCAGAAGACAGAAGCAAGTGGAGGCGTGCAGTTGAAGCCCTATGTTCCACTAGGAACCCAAGGGAACAATAATAATAATTCACGTGTGAGAGATTCTTTTGCCAATTTAGAGGTATCTTCTTCCTTTGCAACTACCATGATTCTCTCTTGTACTGACACATTATCCCTTCTGTTCTTCAGCCTCTTTGAGGTGTATTATTCTGCAGTATTGAGTCGATCCAACACTTTTGATGGAAAGACAAAATTTTCGTTGAATTACTACACTTTATCTCTGTAGCAAAGTCAATGATGTTATATAAAAGCTTTTCTATTTCTCAATTAATGTAAAACAAAACGATATTGGTTTTACTGACATTTCGTTACTTATTACCAATAGCTTTATCAGAGTATTATTAAACCAGAATTTACAAAATCTAAGCTTACATATTGTAACTTAATCATCATTCTTCAGCATGAAGTAATTATTACCTAGTCAGGCTGGTTAGTACAGATTGCTGGATTTGATAAATGTATGCAATTATAAAAACAACATATAGCCATATAGTAAAAATTGATCATCACATCTGTGTTGATTTTTGTCACTTAATAGGGTTTGTGTGTGCGTTTATTGGTTGCTACCGGGTCAAATCCCGTTTTAGTTCATCGTTCCTATTCATGAAGTTTGGATTCCATTTAATGAGAAGTACTTCTGATTTGAGACGTTGTTTGTGGTTTCTGAAAAATTCGAGCTGACTCCATAGCATGTTAACGTATGGCTGATGGCTTTCCAAGCTTTTCTAGTTCAGCTAGATTTCTCAGTGGTCTTCTGATCTTGGTTTCATCCGATAAATATCATATCACATTCCAGGTAATCTATAATATAGACATGTTCCAAAATGGCTACTAAATCACATAGAAAATCCCAATGCCAGTAATCTGAATAGAAATCCAGCATCATCCATTGCAAAACACTTATTAATGTCAGGTCACAAAATAAATATTAATGACTGTTTTACAATTATTTCACATAACTCTAATTCAAGGTTATTGAAGGTGATGGAAGCTCTTTGGATTAATCACATACAGCCTAAACTGTGTGTACAAAAATCAATAGACTTCAATCTTCGCCTACCCTGGACTACTTGACCTATCTAAATATGATTGGTCATTAGTATGTACTTTTGTTTTTACTTAACTGAGTGATTGTCATGAACTTTATTTTATTATTGTTAACCATGTTAGTTGTAAAGCGGTTGTAAAGAAACTACGAAATGATATCATCTCGCGAAATTTGTCTTCTTAATGCCTTATTCAGATTCTAAATCCTCTGGTTTTGGTCTTTTACAAACACTAGGTTGCATTTTTATGTATCCCATCTTTTGAGGGAAACTCTGACACTGTTTTTGTTGGGTACTCCACTGATACCGATTGCCTTTTCGATCTAATTTTTTAATTAATTTTTTTATTATTTTTGATTACAGCTTGATGCCACACCGTAATTTCAGTACAAGCATGGCATTTTCAGCATGGACATCGGTAGCCCAAATTTCGCGGGCCGATCATAGATATCGGGTGTGCGTCGGCAGGGTATCGAACCCCGGACCATGTGCATGGTCGGCGAGAGTCCTAACCACTGTGCCACCGACGCACACAGGAATGGAGACTATTGAGTTCCCTGTGTTCGGCGTTCGTCTTCGACCACATTTGATTTCGGTATGTCCGTTGCAGAATTTTTGAGAGAGCTGATAATTTTGCGCTGATGGGGTGCCATGACCCAAAGTCTAAATATTTGTTAGAATGTGTTTTCTTCCTGAAAACTGATGTATCAAAACCTCCTTTTTTTCTCCCAACTAGTCACTCTAGAAAAGGTGACTCACTTTTAGTTTGACTCTGCTTCCGAATTAGGCTAAATGCTGGGGGATAGATTGCTCAGTTTCTCCAAGAATAAACTGTTTATGTAATCAACGTGTCTTCGTCATATTTTAAATATGAGTATGTTTGAGGTGATATCTTCAAATGTATTCATAAATCAACTATTGGGGAAACTGGTGACCCCATAGCTACACCGTTGGTCTGTCTATATAAATTCCTCTGAATGTAAGTTTAATACTTTCTAGACGGAAGTTAACGGTTTCAGTTATTTTATAGATGTCTAGTGGATATCTTTTTGATAGAGTAGTGTGTAGTTCTAGTAAAGTGAAAATGATATCAAGATTTTGCTACTGGGAATGCTGGTTTATAATGAGTTAAAATCACAACTCATCATATTATCACTTAATTGGTGGATGCTGTCTAGCAGTGGAATCCAGGATGGGCATTTCGTCCTATTTCGGACTCGTCACTGGATGTACCTGCATTTCTCAGTGACTGATGATGTTCATACCGAGGCTCGAACCCAGTGCCCACAGTTTCAAACACCAAAGCATTATCCACTAGACCACTTAGGCCACGAGAGCTGGCCACCTTTTGTGCAACAGGTCATATTAATTTAAATGAATTTTAGATTTTCCCGTCGATTGATTGGACCGGAGTACTTGGTCTCAAGTTGACATGTGATACAAAGTAGTCTTTTTCAAGAAGCTCAGGATACAGTAATAAGGAACAATAAGAAAGAATTGTTAGGAAACATGAATTAGTAATAAGTTGTAAAACAACAATTTGAAGAGTTTGCAAATAAAGAAGGTGTCCATTATCAGACAAGATGACTGTAGCCACTTAGTAGCAAGAATTCAAATGTCTGTCTACCACAGTTAGCTGAATCAAAGGCACACTATTAGTCATGTCCACAGTATTAAAAGGCCCATGTAAAATGAGACGCTGATTTTCCAAGAAAGTTAGGGAAGAATACGGGTCGAATACATTAACGGGTTTGAGTTGTACCACAAAATGTCTTAGCTTCCTTATGTATCAAGTTAAACGAAATGTTTTTTTAAGAAATCAATAAGACATAAGACGACCAATGAAGACTGAAAGAAAGACCCCATCGACTTTTTTTCACAGTTTCATTCCAAATTAATTCACATCTTTATGAAATCCGATCGATTGAATGCGTGTTTTCAGCATTTTCACATCAGGCTTCATAAATTACATACTCAGATTATTCGGCATATGCGTTTCATTTCAAAGCGGTCTATACAAACAAAGTTCAAGTTGGAAATACTCAGAGTGATAATAATAACAACAAAACCATTATAACTTCTTAAAAATCTAGACAGCAGATCATTGTGTATAGATGTTGGTGTAGAGAAGAACACACCTACTACCTTAGCGAGTAGAATATTTGGTTTTAATAAAAGATTGTGAAACAAACATTATAACATAAAATGATAACAATGGATGATAGTGATAAAGGTAATAGTGCAATTAACGATAATATTTACTATTAAGGCTAGAGTCTTTAGGATTGTTATGTAAACACTTGTATAATTTTGTTATTTTTATTCTTTTATTTTGTTCACTTGAACTTTAACTCTGATAAACAGATCGGTAACCGATTTCTAACTTGAACAGTTTTAAAATCTAATTAGAAACACTGATGAGAAATTAACCAAAATTACTTTGTTTTAGTCAGCTTTTTGTTTCTCACGTAAACTAAGTGAACTAAAATCTCCGGCTTCTGTTGACGATTCAGTTCCTAGTGAGGACGATTCGATGATGTATGGGGGTTAAAATGATGTTATTTAGCACTGGAAACCGGTATGTGCATTTAATCCTATTTCACACTAACCAGCTAGTTATACCTGCGTTCGCCAGTGAGTGATGGCGGTGGCTTATCTATAGATGCAGTTATGAGTCGCATTAATTCATCTGTAAGCACTTTATGAGTGGCAGTGCTTAAGGAGTTAGAAAGAAAAAGACGAGAAGGAAGATCTTAGGTAAATATATGACCTGTGTTGTTTGTTTTCAGAGGGTACGATTCTGGCGCTCGTCGAAGACATTCATCAGTAGACTGAAGCTAGAATTCAATAGCCATGGGTTATAACAGTGTGGTTAAATAGCCATTCCAGTGGTTCCTACTGATTCACTAAGTGATGTGAATCCATGATGAAACCAGGATTGTGATTAAGATAGGTATTTAAATGTACAAATTTTTAGTCAAATTCATTCACCTATTTGTCCACTTCCATTGGTAAACATATACAACGTACTGATAAAAGTAGTTAGTAGGCTATGACATGGGATAAAAATATTCCTAAATAATGAAAAGAGTGAGGAAAATTGTGGGTTGTGAAGATTAACTAAAATGTTACTCACGCCACGTTCAGAGATGATGAAACTTTTTACCACAAAATCATTAACTAACTAAAACGCCTAAGTGAAGTCACCACTAAAAACTGTACATAGTGAAGCCAACAAAAGAAAAATTGTAGTGACAAAAGTAGGGCTACTATTATTATACTAATATTCAAGAAGGGAGACAAGTCCTCATGTGATAATCATAGAGGGATCAGCCTGACGAGCAAAGTCTCTAAAATCCTAGGCTCAGTGATCATGCACAGACTAAGCCGAACTCGGGAGGAACAAACGAGGGAAAATCAAGCGGGCTTTAGGCCAGGTAGAGGGTGCATAGATCATATCTTCACTCTCTGACAGATCCTAGAACATAGACACACTTTTAGGCGTCCAACAATTGCCATATTTCTTGACTTGATGGCGGCCTTCGACTCCGTAGATCGAGAGGTACTATGGCAATGTTTGACTGTGAAGGAAGTGCCAAGGCACTCTACTCAAACTTACGTAGCCGTGTAAGGGATTATGGGAAATTGTCATCTGAATTGATAACAACCAGTGGTGTCCGTCAAGGATGTCCACTTTACCCATTCCTGTTTAACTTCATCATTGATATGCTAATGGAAGTACTTTAAATGAACTTAACGACTTAGGAATCGACTTGTTACCAGGGTATAGTCTTATGGACTTAGAATTTGCAGATGACATAGTTCTGTTAGGGGAGGATGCTGACAAAATGCAGAGTCTTCTGAACACCCTGAGCAGAAATCTTCGTATGTTTGTCATGCGATTCGCCCCTGTAAAATGTAAGATGCTGCTACAGGACTGGACTACGTCAACTCCTAGCTTAGTGATAGGGAGTGAAGTGATAGAACATGTTGACCACTTCACCTATTTGAGAAGTTGTATCAGCACCAACGGATTGATTGGTGACGAAGTCTCAGCACGAATCCAAAAAGCTCGGGCTGCTTTCGCTAACTTACACCGTCTCTGGCGTAGGCGTGACATCTGGCTATCAACCAAGGGACGTATGCTGCTCAGCAGTTCGCTCCGTCCTTCTCTATGGCTCTGAAACTTGGCCAATACGAGTTGAAGACATGAAAAGGTTGACTATCTACGATCTCTTTCTCACGTTAGGTGGCATAATAAGCTAAGTAATGTTGACGTTGGGCGTAGTGTTGGGCAAAGAGGGAAAATCAATCGAAGAGGCTATGAAGTTACATAGATTGAGATGGCTAGGTCACGTGCAGCGCATGCCTAACAATCGCCTCCCCCGACGGGCATTACTAGCTGATATAGGTGCAGGTTGGGAAAGAGTAAGTGGTGGCCAAACAAAAACATGGCATCAATCCATGAAATCCCTGACAGTTAAACTGAGTCAGGTAGGGAGATGCAGACTTCCGGGTTGGTGCCCTCGGGACTCTTAGAATCAATGGCTGGAGACAATAGGTGACATGGCTCAAAATCGTTGTCAATGGCTTACGCAGATGTATTCAGTCTCTGTAATCTTTCATACTCCTTTCCACCATTACTCATTCTGTTTCACTCTTATACATGTCAAAACTCTATTGATTCTCTTCTCTCATTTTTTGTCTACCTTTGTGTGCTATTTGGAACGTGGCAACTCGAACTGCTGCACTTCGATGCCAAGTTCTATGTTGAATCCAGCCAGCTAGGACTATTAGTTAAAGTCAAGGTCTACTAAGGGGATGTATTTGCTTCTTGTGTTCACAAGGGTTTGGTTTCAGTTCATCAGTAACCGAAACCCTCTTGGTTTTGATAGTTGGAAACCAAGTAAACGTCATAGGTTTGTATAAAACTGATAGGGGATTCTGAGATTATTGTCAATAATAATTCACTAGAGAAGCCAATCGCTTTCCTGGAATACAGTTTCTTACATTCTCGCTTTCTTCATCACGTATATGCTACCGTGTAATTTCGGAAGGTGAACGTTAACTGTAGTCGGATTTACATGCCTCTTGTAATCATTTTAAGTGGTGAACGCATGCAGAGGCAATCAGATAAGCAGATCAGTAAAAAAAACGTTTATTTTCATTTAAAAATGTTTATTGCATGTACATTGAACAAATAGTCTTTCAGAAAGTAATGAAATGTATTCAGAATCAAGTTTATGTTATTATTTGAAGATTTCATACAGTCAATCAAAGTAAATAATCGGGATACCAATGAATGAAATCAAAGTGTCCAGCTTATTTCGAGACTATTTCTTCTTTGACCAGTTGATTTGATTCACTATGATGAATGTTATCTAAAAGTGACAAGGTGACAAATAATGTTATTGAATATCTTCAGAAGAGGTTATGTGGTAGTTTGTTTTTGTTAAACGTTCAGTTGTCTTAGTGACATACAAAACAGAATATCTCCAAGTGAAAAACATGTTTGTATGAAATATTTTGATACCCTTATGGATGGCTGCGAAAATATTAGTCTAAATACATTTAATCCTACTCCAAGGATAATATGGTGGAGATAATTGGATGACACTTTCATAGTGCTAAAAACAGAAAATATTTCTATCTTTTTCAAACATTTAAACTCACTAGTAAAGAAAATAAAGTTCACATTTGAATCAGAAAATGAACAAAGGGAATTAGCTATGTTAGATTGTAAAATAAAACGAATAGAAGAAGGCAAACTACACACTAGTGTTTATAGAAAACCAACGCATTCTAATAGATATTTAGACTTTAATTCATTTCATCCTTTAACTGTTAAGTCAGGCTTAGTTAAGTGTTTAACAAATCGAGCAATAGCACTAAATAGCACAAGAAAAGATCTAAATGATGAAATAAAAAAGATAGGAGAGACGCTGGTACAAATAACTATCCTATAAAATTCATTAGGAAGATCAGTAAAGGCGAAAAGCAAAATAAAAATAATTGTGAATCTAGTAATAATAGCATAAATAAGAGAGAATATAAGTCGTCCACTGTTATACCACATAAGGAGGAGACATTTGAGACCCTATGTAGGATTCTTACTAAAGCAGGAATTAGAGTGGTATTTAAACCGACAAACTCACTGAGGTAGGAGAAACTCTGTAGTTTAAAAGACCTTGTATTTTGACCCAATTAGACAAAATGATATAATTTACAAAATACATTTCAATGACAGTGTGAGGTCATCTACATGGGCCGAAATAGTAGATCAGGAGTAGTGAGATTATCAGAACACGAGAAATTAGCTGAGGTTAGGATGATTGATCCCATGAAGATTAGTATTTTGGCAAAGAACTCAGCAATCGCACAGCATGCATTAAAACACAACCCCACAATAAGGTGGGGCACAGTCAAAATTCTAACAACTAAAACAGGTAGGTAGAGAGAGAGGTTAATTACTGAATCCTGGTTCATCTAGTCTACACCCAACACATGCAGTAGGAATGACTCATCACTCATACTGGAAATACAGAAAATGCTACTACCAATCAAATCAACCGATGGAAAATAATGGTATTATATAAACGAAGGTAGAAAGTTGTGTAAGCACCTTGATATGATTATGAGCAATAAACTGTGCTCGAAACGTCATCAGTAAATATTACTGTATAACACTGTGAGACGTTATCAAAATCAATTTTACCCACAATGGAATTATACTCTGCCAGAGTGCACAAGCTCTGTTCTTATATCAATGAAATATTTCGAATTTCGACAATCTAAAGGATGTTGCCCCACAGTTCCGTGATTGTACATAAGGCGCTTGATAAGATGAAATACGTGTCATGTATACATAGCTTATATAATCAAAACATTTTCATGTGAGAAAAAGCATAAACATTCATAATTATTTTACGTAAAATGCTGAGAAATTTACATATACGCATTGCTGTTTATAAATCGCGTATAACGTCTGTTCATGAATTTACACAAAATAAGTAGTGCTGATCGTCGTAATATATTATCTCACGATCCTATTAACTGCCGGAACATTCTTATTACTAAAATTTAAATAGAATAACAACAACAATTTGACGGCACTGTTCTTAGTCAACACACGATTGAATTCAATACTTTATTTATCGATTACGATGTGCTTCTCCTTGTGATTTCAACTCCTCATCGGATGCCACTTATTTGTAATTTGTGTTCAGGACTTATTACACCGTTCACCACCAACTACCTGAACTTTGAAGGGATTTCTATGAATGCTTTCAGTAATTTATGTGCACATAGTCAGCCTAGTAAACGCCGACAACATTGGCCGAGAAGTGATTTGGAAACCACATCAACATTATAGCGTGCTACAAATCTCCATCAACCTGATTCGACAGCAATATAATGATGCTATATATGAAGTGATCCACAACGTAAAACTCAGCTTTTGAGGTGAGAAGAGGAGGAAAACAAGGCTGCCTACTCTAATCGATGATATTTTTAACTGTAGGGGACTGAATCATACGGCAGATTAGGAAGCGAGAATACATGAATATGCTGGACCAACAAGAAGACTTAAAGAGACATGGAATTTTCTGGCGACTTATGCCTCATGTCACAGAAACTCGGAAACCTGCAAACGCAAACAGTCAAAGTTACAGAAGGAGCATCAAGAACAAAACTTCAGGTGAACATATATAAGACAGAGGTGATGCGATTAACCAGCCAGCAACAGAAAGCACCAGTTACTATCAAAAGAATCAATTTGAAAGGAGTCACTTCCTTCCTGGACAAGTTTATTTTAAATATAAAGGAGTGGTTGAGTATTGATAACTGCATGACGTTTCGAGCATAAAATATTACTCATAATCTAATCAATTTAGTCACATGGTTTCACAATTTGTCAAATATATGTATTTTCTCTTTTCCTCTCCCTCCAACTTCCCCATGTTTTTTGTTGCCAATTTCCATATCTCCAGTATAAGCGTTACATCATTCCGATTTCACATGTGCAGTGTTGAATCGATTAACGAAAATTAAGTGATTAACCTCTTTCCCTACACCTGACTTTATCACTTTTGAATACTCTCTCACGATGCCCCACCGTATTTTGTGATTATGCCACAGTGAATGCGATGCAGTGGAGGAGCTTTTTTCTAAGTTATTCCACGAAGCAGGATCAATCATTCTAGGTCTAGCTAAATTTTCAAGTTCCAATAATCTAGTTTACCTCGATCTACTAATTTGATCTATGTTATTCGCCTCAATAACAATCATTACATGGTACTTGTTGGTCGGTTCAGATACCACTCTAAGTACTGGCTCATTAAGAATCCTATATATTCATTTAAGGCCTCTGACGTTCCTTCTTAATACGTCAGCACTACAAACACTACAGATTCTATACCGTTTTCTCTTATTTTTGACCTTTTCACTAATATTCCTATTTTTCTATGGTTCTTCTTATATTTCTAAATAACGTCTGGTGGACAGTTGTTCAGTAGTAATATCTTTATTTCTTTGATTTCATTGTATAAATCTTCTGGCTTACTAGTGGGTCTGGCATATAATTTTCTGTGATATAAATTAAGAGAACGAAGATGGACAAAAGATATTGTTTTCGTAACATCTCATTAAAGTTGTACGGTTGGATAATGTTTCTAAAAAGTAATGGGCAATGTTGCCCTGTTTGCAGCACACCTTATCTAGACTTGCGCATGAACATTTTTACTAAGATAGTTATCAGGAAGAGAAATTAGACAAATCAGCAGCTGCCTTCTTGAGTCCACTTGTTCTTATGTACTACTGTACTTTACGTTGACAGCTTCTGAAGGGTAAGCTGTTGCTATGTACAAGGGGAACTTTAAATACTGTTTGTCATCTCCATCCTACAACCATGACATCAAGTCTTTATTTGGTATGAATTCTGTCCGTATTCTTTCTCTTCTTTGTTGTCACACTCCTAACTCTACAATATGCTCTTTAGGCATATTCTGAATCTCTTACTCTCATGGACATTATATCTGTTTCAAAGGGCTTACAGTTTTAACAGCAGTCATTTATGAACACTCTTCACTTAATTTTTTCAGATTATGTAAGACTGCATACTCAAATTTCGTAATTCATCCAATTTTTTTAGTTCCTGAAATATAATAAAATATGATTAGTTACCAGCTTATATTAATAAGTGACTTCTGCTGGCATTTTCAATGACCTTTACAGAAAACTATTCAAATGCAAACCACTGATGAGGATTTAGTGAAAATATTTTCTTTGCTGACTGACAGCTCATGTGTAACTGTTGCGTTTAGTTATCAATTATTATTGATCTGTGCACAGCTATGTACCAAATGAGGTCGTTTAAATATTAACAGGTTAACTATATGGAAGTAGAGTAAATGACTCACAATAGCTGATGTACAGCCCCAACAAGCACCAGCGAACCAATGGAAAAAATACTGAAACAAATATGGAACAATTCAATAATAATTCCCATAAAGACAATAATGAAATCAAAGCACGTTGTTCAGACAAGAGGGCCTTTTCATAGTGCTCAATTGTCTCAACAATACAATCGCATTTCCATACAATTTTATCATGAGAGCGGTTAGTATCGAAATTGCTGAAGTGCCTTAGTCATAACTGTTATTAGCCTCATTCAACAGATATATGACAATGTCAAATGTCAAATGATCCACAACCGAACACATAGCTTCTAAAGGGAATTGATTTGCTTTTCTAACTCCTTAAAACTCTTGTATTTCGTCAGAATTTTTACAGTATGCCGCGATTTCCATCGTTTCTTTGTGCATCCTGATTACAACTCATTCAGTAAATTACTCCTTCGATTACCTAACTCTAACTTATTAAGTTTCATTTATGCATTGAGCAATTTAGACAACTATAATTGTGTCAACTGATCGCTTTTCTCACTGTCCTCTTCCATGGTTGTAGATAAATGCGATTGTACAGCTAAAGGAAATGAATTCACCGAAAACAGCCTCTTTGCTGAGCAACATGCTTTTTATTCATTAAATATGGAACAAATGACAAATGTTTGATATGGAATAACCTGAGTCATCAAAAATGAATAATTAGTAATGATATTAATTAATTAATTCCGTTTTAGTAATTTGATGGATGGTGACTAGCAATGGAATTCAAGGTGCACACTTTGTTCTATTTGGGACTCATCAGTTGGATATCCCCGCACTCCCTAGTGAGTGGTGTTGTGCCCCACTGAAACTCGAGCACACTACCCATCGTTTCAAACACCGAGGCATTATACTAAATGTGCATCTTGCATCCCACTGCTAGTCACCATCCACCGAAATACTCCAGGTGAAATCGTCAGACATCGTTGAGGCATTCGCATAAGCGGCCAACATGTCAACAGAGACCTGACGTTTCAGTGCAGTCAGTCAACGGGAGAATCAAAGTTAAATTAAGAATGAATAATGTCACTATATTTGGTGGTTGACGACAACCGTTGAAACACTCTTGTTAAGAACTGATTAATGTGTAAATTTCTTTCAGTGGAGAACAGCATGTCGGTTGTGACGACAGATACCCGCCAATGACACTAACTAGTGGTTGCACTATTTCATTATTATGCAGAGGTTGGAATTCATGGGCCACTCGGTCGTGTCTCAGAGACTTTTCGGTCTTCAAGCTAGCCATATAACTGGAAGGTCCCAGATTAGACCACCGGTAGGTGCGGAGTGGTGAAGATTCCTACACTAGGACGGAAGAAATAGCTGTCTAGTACTCATGGTTATCCCAATGGTTTCCTTATTGATCCTGGAATCATTCAGAAATATTCATTTGTTCCGCAGATTTCAGAAGGATGACAGATAGTGTTATAACACCTGAAATAATAATAGTTACATGTCAGTAAAAAAAAAGTATTTCGGTTTCGCTGACTAAACGTTTGGCAGAAGACGACACTGCCATACGTTGTCACGAATGTTTTTCGGATAGTATAACCAATGCAAATCTGCAGAAGTTTATTTCAACAGAGTTATGGAATACGGGTTGCAAAACACAAACAAAAACATACATTTCCCATGAAGTTTAGGCCACTGAGTCAAGTACAGAACACGTAAATTTAAACCGTCATATTGTAACTGACATGGCGTTGAGTTTTTGAGGAAATTAAATAAACAGAAAAGGCAAGGAATCAAATCTATCACAATCATTGTTTACTTACATCAGCACTACCCAGAACAGAAAATAGTACGCCGGCGAAGAACGCTACTGTAGCCGCTGTCAACAGTGCGACACAATTAGATACGCTTAATTTTGCAACGTACGTTGCTACAAAGCCCACAAGTGCGTGAACTGTGAGAGAAACACCGATAAATGTATTCTGTGCTATAAGGTTATCACTGCAGCACAGAAAGGAGTCGGCAGTTAACCAGAGTATAACCTGGTTGAAGAATTAAGAGAAAAAAATAATATTAAGCTTGGTTCATTATACAGCGAAGACAAATAGAAATAGGTTGAGAAATCACTTTAAGAAAGCATCAGTGGGAGGATTAGACAGACCAACAGTTCATATCCACGACACTAACCAAGATTTGACACCGTTCTTTCTGGTTAGTATGAACCAAATTATCAAAAAGTTGTTACTGAGTCTCATAGCATTCACTTGAACAGATGAGATTTCTCGTCTTCAGTGGCTTTCATAAATTATATCTACCTCCAAATTATTGAACATCCGATTGCATGTCATTTTCTGTCTGGAAAATACTCTTGCCTTATTTCTGATAATACACAAAAGGGGAGAACCTCTTCCTTGAGTTATCGTCCGACATACCAATCAGACATCTCAGAGTTGAGTGGAATTACGGAGTTTCTAAAGATGAAGGAGTATAATTCATAAATGTTGCATATGAGTGTCTCGTATATATTCAACAAGTATTCTGTCCTCAGTAGTTCTAAAGCAATGGATTGCAGTTTATTCTATCTGTTAGCAAAGTAAAATATGACTGCTTTCTCAATTGCATTTCTAAATGATCGCTACTTTTGGTTATGTAAGCTGAAAATTCAACAAAAACAAACATGCCATCTTTGACATTCAACAGAAGTGTCGTTGATAAAGGTCTTACTATTGAAGACATACCATCAATGTAATTAGGGCAAAAGCAAATGGTTGTGAAAGAAAATTGAACTGCTTGTTGATAAACAGCAGTATAAGCAGCAACAGACATATCACGCTGAAAAATAAAACAGAGATTGTGCACATATTAATGCATGTTATAATTTGAAATCTTGTTTCGAAAATCCCTCTCGAACGGTCCTATCACAACGTTTGTAATTATTCTGACGTCACAAATAATTATGTGACTTTAATCCCTTTCAAAAATACTGTATTTTATTATATCAAAATTTTTATGTAATTTTTTGATTTCATACTTATTATTTTATCTTTTTTTTGATTTACAGCTTGATTCCACACCATATTTTCAGTACAAGTATGGAATTTTCAGCATGGATATCGGTAGCCCAAATTCAGGCCGACCATAGATATCGGGTGTGCGCCGGCAGGGGATCGAACCCCGGACCATCTGCACGGTCGGCGAGAGTCCTAACCACTGTGCCACCGACGCCCATTCATTATTTATGCTCTTATTTCAGTGCTTCTGTTTGTGGTTGTGTGTACCCTGATATTGTGTCAATTTACCTCATGATTTCGCTTTAGTGTATGAAGAACATTCTTGCCTCGGACAGTCTACGGAAACGTCCACGGTGTGTGATACGTGTGTACGGTGATTTTAATCTCAGCTTGCTGGGACTATTCTACTTGATTTCTAATGGACCTCTTCTGCTTGAATTTCAGTTAACTAATTTTGTTTTACAGTGCTTGTTTTACACTTAGAAACCCATATTGATCGTATCGATGCCTGGTGGCACTGTTGAGGTAGTTCTGATAATATTACTGATAAATAGAATCACGCGTAGATAGCGATCACAAACAATGGTCATTTTGCTGGCCTTGAAGAGGTTTATGACTGGACGTTTCTCAAGGAGTTTCCGCAGCCATAGAGGAGGACTCAAGGTGCGATTCTCTGAGTTCTGACCACAACGAGTTGATTTTAGCCACCACAAAATGAAGAAATCCTTTGTACACTAAGCGTTACTACTCAGTGTCTGTAGTCTTTTTGATACCTGACAGCAGATGTTGGATATGTGAAATTATTTATGGGAAGAAGCGAAATTGGTTCAAATAAGCCAGTGTATATGTGGTGAGCACTGCAGTTTAAGGATATGTGAGGGGCATCTTTTGTTTAAAAATGGAACCTCTTTTGTTTAGAAGAACAGCCAGGATGGAATGATTTCACTAATCATGAGAAAAGAAGAGAATCACCTCAGATTATACTTTGACGTATTCATATGAGTAATGCTACAGTGGGAATAGATTCAGAAACTTGTGGGCTTACATTTCTCACGTAAACACAGTTGATGAATACATATTCAGGTGACCCAGTAGAATATTTTTAGGTAGTAACAGGTTCGCTGAGTCACTTATGCTCAGGTTGTTTTCAACTAGAGAGGGTTTGCTTATGAGTTCAATTTATTTCGATTGAAACCCAACTTATTTCTCCTTCAACTGTCAGTTATTTTTGAAAAGTGCACTTCTCGATGAGGCTTAAATATATCCAAGTAAAACTTCCAACCGAAAGATGGAAATTAAACATCCAAATTGAAACTTACATGGCTATGAATGCTGCGATTAAATTTACGTCCGAAATATCGCCATGTTCCATTCCAATGGAGGTGGTGGTATACTTGAGAATCTGCAACAAAAACATATTGTTCATTTCCGTCGAATTCATCTGAAGGGGAAAATGGTGAAAATGTCCAGCTCAGTGGGATGATTTTTATTTGGTTGTGATCACTGAGATGATTGATTTAAATGTAAAGCTTTCGTCGTCCTTCTGGGTAACATCTTCACAGGGAATTGAAATATGTTCACCTGATACTAAAGTTTCCCCTGAAGATGTTTTCTAGAAGGAGGATGAAATTCTCCTAATTAAATCAACTAGGTCGGAGAACACAGTTGAATGTAAATGCAAAGGAAATATTACGATAGTGATGATTGCAGAATATTTAATTTATAATAATAATCACTTTATTCCAAACAATAATAGTTATACACAATGAGATGTTCAATGCTTTTATACATATTGCAGCAGTTTAGCTCCTTTTATAAATGTCTACATACATAAACTTTGAAATAGTAATAATAATGTTAATAATCAAACCACTATAAACAAAGTGTTTGTGGAAACATATTGAAGTATAAGTAGATAGTATCACAGATAGTACATGTAATAATAATCTTTGCTTATACTTCGAAGTTTGATTACTTGTTTAAAATGTTTATAAGTTGTTTTTGACATCTGACCTCTAACAAAAAACCCCTGCTAAATATAGTTTGTTAGAATTTTTATATTTAGTTGCACGACCGTAACTTCTCATGAATTTTCTTTTAGTTTTACACGGGGAGAAAGGAAGAGTGAGTTGAGAATGAAGAGGATGTTCAGTATCAAACAAGATAACTTTTGCTAAATTCTTGAAAGAATTAAAGGGCCTATTGACAATGACATCAGTTGGTTGAGTCAAAGGCGCATACAGCCATCAGTGTTCTATGTATTATGAAATAGTCCTTTTTGAAAAGTCTATCAAGGATGAATAATGGCGAAAAATAAAGGAGGATGCACAGAATAAATTAATTAACAAATTGTAAGAGAAGAAGTTGAGTTATGCCAGAAAGTCCCAACTAGTCCATGTGGTACTCATAAGAGAGATTTTCTTAGAAATCAACAGGATGTCAGACAGATGGTTAGACCATTGGCAAATTAAATGAAATTTGCTTTGGAAGGTAATGCAAAAAGGAGGAGAAAGAGAATGGAGAGAGTACGGCAAAGCTTTGAGACACCAGTTCCCATTAATAACGAAATGGAGCGCTTTTCAACCGAAACATTATGTTGTTTTCTACCCAAAAAGTAGGAAGATAGCCGGCTTGTGATCCAGGACTCAGTGTTTGCTGAACTCGGCCTGCTTAGCAAAACTGCATTAGAAATAGAATTAAAAGCAGCAGTGTAGTCTAAAAAGGAGGCTCAAACAAACTTAGTGCCTCTATCAAGACTTGAAACAATGTTGTGGTGAAGTACAACGACTGCATCTAATGTGCATCAGCTGCATTTGTAAACAGACTTCTTTTGGCCAGTAAAAGACTTCAAAGTAGCCTGAAGAATAAGCGATAGCAGTTTCTCCATAGTTCTATAAAATGGTGACAAGATGGCGATCAGCCTAAACCTGATTCGGAAGACGACTTTGGTACAAGCAACACCTTTATTTCTTTCCATGCAACAGGTCCTGTATCCCTATGAAGCGACGCATTAGAGATTTCGGTGAGAGGATAGAACAAAATATCCGCACAAGTTTGAAGCGAAATGCTTGATACACCATCGAGTTCCAGGCTGCTTGATGAATTTAAGGATTTGAGCTATGGAAAACCAATATTTCCAGTAAAACCAGGGAAATGACAATATGTTTGAATTATTCTCACAAGACAGATATTTTTCATGAAATGTCCCATTTAGTCTTTGCATTTCCGACTTTATCAAAGAGTTTATTATTCGAACAGCTGCACTGTCATGTGATCCATACAGTTTCTCCTTTTCTCTTGAAAGCTTTTTTAGTTGTGGAGAAGAGATCCTATCAAATCTCGTGAATAGAGTTCTGGTTGGACAGCAAATGTCGGAGGATAAGTTGAGATAGCAGGTGACACTAGAGACAGTAACGTCTGACATTTATTCAGAGAATAGGTCCCAGTCAGTAGCACGCAACACATCTTAGTACTTGAATTTTGTCATGTGAATAAGATCATTCTTGGATTTTCTTTGTTAGGTGAACAAAAGTCCTTCTGTGTAACCTGCCATACACTTTCGGTTAAATTCGAATGATGCAGTGGTCAGAATTCAGCAATGGAGCTCTCCTTCGCACCCCATGTGTGTCACGATCGTCTAAGAAAACCAATTCTAGGTTTTGGTCCATACGAGTAGTGAATTTGACCAGGTTCTCATGACCAAGCAATATGAGAAAGCTGTGGTCGCAAAGATTAAGGTCCCCAGGGATTATGGACGAGGAATTTTCAAAAATAGGAGCTGCGAATTCAGAAATTCCGTCTCCAAAGAGTTGAAATGCGAAATGAACTGCAATCTGGAGTTATGTAAACAATTGTAAGGCATATGTGGAAATATTTACGCAAGTGCTTTGGACGACACCTAACACTGATACAATCTATATTGTAACGGGAAAACTTGAAACACACGAGATTAGTTGTAGACTGCTATGTATTGACAAAAGTGGCTACTCCTCCACCATGCTTTTTCTTTGAACTAGGCCTATCCAGATGAAAAATGTTATATCCATTTAATGAGATTAGATTGTTGTCATATTTGTGGCAGAGCCAAGTTTCTTGTACAGCTAGAACACCAACATTTCGATATACATTTGAGGAAATAGGAGACTGGAGGCATTCCCCTTTGTTAGGCAGAGACCTACAACTAGTGCTAACAACTTCGAGGACAGTCATACGATTGATTTCTGTACGTTTTATTGCACGCTGCCAACCAGCGTGATGCTCTTTCCTCAATTTTAGAGGATGACTCAACGTGACAGGTTGGAAAGATTTTTAAAAGACGTGATTATAAATAATACCTGTGTTATTGATCAAAATATAGGTTGATGGAAAATGGTATTTTTGGCAGGCCAAAATCCAAGCAGGTCACCAGCAAGCACTTGATCGATGATGGTTTTTTTTCAGAATAACCTTACAATTATTTCAGAACAATCGTCTCTTTCCTGTCCATGGAGTGCTTAGTGACTGAGTCTTCTCAAGGAATTTTCAGTAAACAACAGTTAGCAGTATATATTTGTCGGAAGGACTCTGAACAATGCAATTCAGTTGTCTTTAGGTTCAAAATTCCTAGAACGTTTTATCCACCTGACGACTACAGCTCATCTAGCTTCTACAGCAATCAGTGACCCACTCGGAGATTCCGGCATATGAATATCCCAATAATAAGTACTAGAAATAAACAATTCGGCTGTAGTTTCGGTGCTCACTTGTCTCTTCACTCAAGTTTTTAATCGTTTAGGCATAAGTGAAGATCGAGTGGAGCGTTTACTCATATATCTGCAATGTCACGTCGCTTATGTCATATCTAATCTATTACTGCTATCGGTACAGCAAATATAAAGGAGGTTATAAATAATATCGCATAGAACTCACAGTTCCTCCTCTTATCCACGTCTCAGACAGAAGTATTCAGACTTCACTGAATTAATTATTTTATTATTCATTATTATGAGACACTTTGATTATAATAGCAAAGATCAAAATATTCGACTTTTCCAATTTGTTCAAAAGTCGTGTCTAGATAGTTGATTCATTTCGTAGACACGAAGTATCACACAATCATCAACACGTCGAATGATACACACACGAAGTGCACAACATATTCGATTCACGACAGATATGTTTAAAGATGTGATGTGGTTAAGTGATAATCGATCGCAGTAAATTTATGCTGAAGAACAATACACTAATCTGTATAATGCAGATTCTCATCTAAAAGTAACAGTTCATGTTTGTCATAAATGGGAATTGATAGAAGACAACTGAATCTTCCGACACAATATCCGATGACCTTTCCGCACAATTAATGTCTTACAATCCTATCAACATAACATCGCATCATCCGGTTATGAATACGGTATCACTGTGTCACATCAAATAAACTTATTTAAATGTGTTTTGGGAGAATTTATAACAAAAATGCGTGGTACGGACATGCACTCCACCTAACCAACACTAACGCTAAGAAACAGTAGTCATTTGAAACGTTTTAGGCAACTAACAGTTGTCATGATGTAGCAGTACTTTGAGGTAATGAGGATTAGTTGAAAGATTAACGGCAACTTGCATATTGAGGATTGAAAGAAGCTATATAGTCTTCAAATACTGACAACATTGTATTCCACAAATTTTTAATTCACAGTGATGATATTCTAAATATCTTGGCTCTGTTCGCATTTGAACCATTTATCTGAACTCTGTTCAAATGATGTTCAGATGAACTCTGATCAGGATCTACAAACTGTGACACAGTGACGATTAAAGCTGTAGAAGAAAATTGGACTGCGATGTGAAGATTAATCATGGAAATTATTTGTTCCCAGTCAGCAGTGTTATAAAGCTTAAGCTCAAAAAATAAACGATGAATAATGGTCAGTAAATTTACCCATAATGGAATTACACTCTACTACAGTGCCCAAGTTTTATTCTTATATCAATGGTCAGTAAATTTTGATTTATTTCTAGTAATAGAATGAAACTGGTGTTTAGATGGATGATAAATAGGATGGAAATATAAGTCTAACGAATACTCTCAAATTTTGATGGAAAGCTCATAAAACAGTGACTAAGAAGGTATTCAGTAAAGGTGTTCTGTGAAATACCTTGTCCGTACCAGTGAGATGATATTGGCTTGTTCTCTTCTGTGAAATGATGGAAGATTGTAAGAGTAAACCCTTTTGACAGTCTATTCTTTCCTTCGTACAATCTGTCATTGAAACGTTGAGACGAAATTCAGTTTGATTGTAAATCGTTAAGCGAATCCGAGTTCATTGAACTGGCGAGTACGAGTATTTCAATCCTTTTGCCTGATTCAATAAAGGTCAACTATTTTCTGCCTCAATAATGAGAAAACAGTTCGGTCATTTAGAAAATTTGAAAAGGTAACTTTCATAATATAAGCAATGCGTTTTATCGATTTCCTCTTGACAACTATGGTGTGTTTTGTGAATTAACTTCAAAATACAAAAGTAAAGATTATCTTCTCACATACAGACGACCCAAACATCCTAATATTTAAATTTGTTACTGCATGCGAAACCACCTCTAAATTCTACCGGTGTTCTGTAAGTTGAAGATGTGTGGTAAGGAGAACTGCCTTCAGTTAATATAATCATCCATAAATGTGTTTCCACACAAAAGCTAGTGAACAGAAAATTCACAAAATTTATTCAAAACAAAGAAAAGAAGAGCGAATCAGTGTCCTCTTGTTTTACAATTATGGATCAGTCAATCTATAAGCACACAGTAGACAGTAACAGCAAATTAGGATCATATCAGAAAGTGAATATTGTGGTACAATTACACGATGGAATAATAGTCGGTGAGTTTTCATTACCACATAATTCCACATAAAATGAAAGGCCAATAAGAATGTGAAACTAAACTGAGGCATTCAGTGTTATGTATATCAAAGAGTGAGTGTAGTTAGAGCTGTGACAGACTGTGTTAATACCACAGAGAAGCAGACAAACGAATGGGACGCTTCTGGACGTCAGATCAGGGGTGACAGATAAGAATAAAGAGGATAAAATAATAACGGTGACGTGATATAAACACAAAAGTTCTATAGGTGAAATATAATCAAGAGATGAGGAATTTAATAAATAGGAATCAAAAGAGTTGTGTATATTCAACAACGAATTCGGAAAGCAGCACATCAACGTGGTGTAACAGGCAAATAGTAGAACTCAAATTCTTTCATTAAAAATGATTTAAATCTGAATGAATAATGAAATATCATTTAGCTATAACGAAATGTGCCATCCTATATATTCGTTCGATTCAATACACTTTTATCCAAGTGACTATATTTGCCTTACTAGTTTCTTCATGTGATGTCACTGAGAACTGTTTGACTGATTTACTTCGAAGTAGCCTTCCTGCAGCTTGCACTTTCTTCCTGACTACAGTTAGTGAACAGGGATCAGGATATCACAACCAGTCAGGAACGGAAAAGCAAGACAGACCTGCATCAGTCTGATATCAGTGTGGAAAGCTTCTGCACTCGATACACAGAAGATGTGGAATTTCAACACTAATTTGAAGTCAGCCCTTACACGTGTTTCAGAATCTTGGAGTGTCATGAGAAGCATTCCTAACAGGCCGTTGACTTTTGTCAACATCTGTGGTCACTCCAAATTGAAGATCAAATGGTCAGTCAAAAGGGATGAGAAACAAGGATCTCGGACATCGAAACAACCAGGAAAATGTCGCACAAGAAGTATGCAGAAGATAATCGAGATGCATAGAACAGATGCTGAAGAGACCATTTAGGGATATTACACGCCAGGCCGTCTAAGGGAGACTGAATGACGAAGAACGACGTCAGTGTTCCATGTTGATGTGTAGTAGGTCGAATGAGCAAGAAATGAAAGCTTATTGGCCATAGTGGAGAAATATGAGAATACTACAGAAAACAGAGTGTGAAATTTAAAACGTGCACATGTTAACCTCATATCCGGGAAATAATATTAAATATGACACCTGATCTGGTTTCTGTTGAATTTTTAAGACAACACTTAACTGGCTGATATGAACGGTATTCTGCGTACCCAGTCTGTTCACATCTGATACCTGAAAGTATCATTCCAGAGACAGCGATTTTCTTTCTAACCCTTTCATCAATCAAGCAAAAGTGACTTGTTAAAGCTGTTTCATCAGGGCATGAACAATCCTTGATTAAGAACACGCAAGTCAACAAAGAGATCACTTCTGGTAATTTATCTTCAGCTCCATTAATCAAGTATGCCGAACTACCTGTTCAAAGGGATTACTTTGGTTTGATGACCTCTATACACTCTTCCCTGATAGTTTTTGCTATCTGTTATGGTACTGTACTGAAATTCCCATACTAACTGTTCCTCAACAGCAGCATTGTTAGTTAATACTGACCAAAAATGCTTACAAACATTCCGAGTAATATTCGCAGAGTAAGTTTTCGGCTCTGAAGCTTTTTGATGAATGCATAAAGTTCAATTGGAATGAAATCAAAAGACTAAAACTAGTGTTCAAAAGTAACAGGCAGTTTTATTTGTCATTATTCCCTTATCAGATTTCACCAAGGAGAGAGGGAGGTTTCAAATATTGAATTGCTGTTGATGCGATGGGTGAGGATTCAAAATGAGATGGCAATCTGTGACACCAGACCATTCAAAGTGGTGGCCTACAAATCGCTAGCCTGAAGTTGGAACAAGTGAGCAGCAAGACCTGATATACGAACAGATAAAATGACAGCCAATGGGATAGACTATATCAGGATTAATATCCTAGGTTGTTTTCCAAAGATTAGGATTAATGGCCCTACTCATAATCACTACTTTGAATATGATCGCTCATTTACACATATTTAATCAAAATTTGGTTGTACGTGATCGTGGTTATTATTGTATTTTATTCTAAAGTGGTTATATTTAGAATGTGTAATCACTTTAGTCAGAATTTTCTTATCAGTAATATTGTTTATAGAGTATATACAATCTCAAGTGGATAAGATGAATACTCGATGTTTCTTAGTGATATTAAAAATGATCAAAGTTATTTCACATCGTATGACTTAATCCATGGTTCAAAGGTTTTAGTCTGATTACTAATAATAGTAGATGAGATTTAACTTAAAACAAATTATTAATAAGTAAGTTTCTGGTATTCACACGGTAAATAGAATTGTTTTCTGATATTTCACATGACAAAATATACACATTATTATTATTGTTGTATCCTTTAATTCCTAGAGGAACATAAGGCTTCAGCCGTGCGTCTCAATTGCGTTCGGTTCTTTGCTAGAGTCTTCACCTGGATCCGTGTCTGCCCACACGTTTTCATCTCCTCTTCACATGACCTCCTCCAAGTCACCCTTGCACTGACGACCAACTCGCCGCTTCCCATTCAGCCGCGTTCCACTCGAGCAATGGCTTGTCTAGTGATGTCACTTGATGGTTTCCTGAGAGTATGGCTAATCCATCTCCATTTCTTCCTGCCTATTTGTTTCACAATCGGTTGGTTCGCTCCCAGATATCTCTATTGCTGATCTCTACTGGCCATCTGGTCTTGACTAATGAGCGAAGACAACTGTTGATGAAGGTCTGTAGTTTGTTTGAGATGCTCTTTATGTCGCGTATAGTAGCACTGACTTCACATTGGAGTTGAAAATCCGGATCTTATTTTTGATGCTGAGTGTTGTTGACCTCCACATAGACTTGAGAGTAGTGAAAGCTTGTCTTGCTTTTCCGATCGATCCTTGCTTTGATATCCTCATCAGTTCCGCCTGTAGTTGAAACGATGCTTCCTATGTAGGTAAAAGGGGTTTTTTCTTTCAGGTTCCTCCCATTTATGCTGACTGTTGTCTGTTGTTGTTGCTGTTGTGTCACCCAGGAATCTTCATCACCTCTGTTTTCCCTATGTTCACATCAACAGTAGCGTAATTAGGCCTACTTCACTGTTCTTAGAAGAAATGACTCTCTGTGTTTCTGTGTTGAAAGAGACAAGGAGATAGTTGAAATTTTAGCTGCTTGTCACTGCTAGAAGCGAAGGATTTGCCGGAAGCATAGTGTCTATGAAATCGAACGTCGTGGCGATCATTTTCAATAAATTACAGTTATCCTTCACCGATACCGTGTTCAGCAGGTTGAGGGTAGATTAAGTAAGTGAAATGAACGCTGTTCATTATGTGATTTTACTATCATGGGTGACATTTGTAAAAAATCGTCATCTCGCAGAAAATATGGATTGACACATTTTAGGATTGTAAGTGAACACAAGTGTCTCATACACTTTCTTGCCACTGGGACAGGGCTTTCTTGGGATTAGTCCTTGTGTGCATCGCCAAATAATTTCTACAGTGTGTGGCCGTCCATTTAATCTAATTGGTAGAATTTATTCATTGTTCATTAAATCGTTGCTCACATTCAATAAGACATACGATTTCGAGGGAGTATCTTACTTGCACTCGGTTCACTTCATTTTCTGCTCTTTCCATGACAGTCCCCAAAATTTCCACTTTCTTATTCACATCATCTTCTGCGTATCACTGCTCAACTCTCAACTATATGCTTTAAAATCTAGTTCTCTTCGAGGACCTGGAATATGCTATAGCTTGACGAATTCCTCAGCCTTTAGACTATCCATTTTCATTTCCTACTGTATATTCATTGAGTAATAGGTTGTGTGTTGGTTCTTGGTTGTCATAGTTTCTTGTTGAGGTTTCTTGAGGTAATTAGATGCAATATTGTAATGAACGCTGAAAATTCCATACCTGTACCACAAATACTGTTTGGAATAAAGCCATTATTATTATTATTGTTGTTTATTTCTTTCGGCCACCTGATCTTCAGTAATGAGCGAAAGTTGCTGTTACTGAAAGTCTTTAGGATCCTGTTCGGAACTTGCCACTTTCAGTTACTGTAAATTCACACAGTGATCTCTAAGCAGTTAGGGTTCTGTCTTGTCTTGTGATCCTCTTCTGGCTGTCACATCAGTATCCATGCCTCCGGTAACTGAAAGGATACTGAAAGTGAGGCAAGTGAAGAAGATGATTGAGATGTAAAGACACATTGGAAGCTCAGTTACATTTTTCGTTTTACTTTCTACAATCCTGTGCACTGGTTTTTAGCATATTACTTTTCTATTCTTATCATTCAGCTGGAAAATGAAGTGCAGTAGAACGTATCGATTATTTTGAACTTCTTATTCCACTCGCTGTTTGCACATTTTATCGTGTGATTGCGTATTTGACGTTTCATGGCGATTTCGCCTACGAATCCTCAAGTTGTGAAACTGTGAGTTACTTCTTTTATAGATTTTAATTTTCATTCGATGAAGTTTTGATTAGCTTACCCAAAGACATTAGATTTTTTTTCCTTCACTTTCCCCAGTAGAAGATAGGGCTTCAGGCTAGTGGCTTGAAGTTTCTGTAGCAGTACTTATTTTACAGGATGGGGTTGCTAACCTCATGCCCAACCTTTCCTCTTTACCAGCTTTTATTTCTGGTTTAGAGAGGTAAGGGAGTGCGTCGGCCGGGAATCGAACTCCGGACCGTGAGCATGGTCGGCAAGCGTCCTAATCGCTATGCCACGGAGGCCTTAAGACATTAGATAGTGGAAATATATATTAACTTTCCCATTTAAAAACTATTTTATTATTGAGAAATACTAACTCTATATAAATCTTAAGTTCAACAGATGTCTTCCTCATATAGGAATATAACACAAAAGTTGTAATACTTTATATTACCCTACATCACAGCCTATGAAAACCCTTCATCTGTTGTGCTCACATTCAGTAATCACTTAAATTTTCGGTTAATATCAGTCAGTATAAAGGGGGTAATGGTAAAATATTTGCCTGCAGTACTAGCTGGACGGTGTTCAAATATTCCAGAGGAAAATTCTCACTTAGAGGTACACCTGGCTGACAGTTGTTAGCAAGAATAAAACTTATGTCCAGATCTTCTCGTAAAATATCTCTAACTATCCAACATCAATCAGATATTTCTACTTAGGTGACTTGAACTATTATTTCTCAAGACGGACCACAAAAGTCTACATGAAATATTTGAACTACTTAAATTTAGACCAGTGGAATAGTTTAACTTAGCTTAATACATAATCCAGGATTGAGTGAAGACTTTATGACTTAATTAGTTGGCTTGTAATCTCATGTTACGCAATGTTATCCCTTCACTGCTTTAAGTGACATCACTTAAGAACACCAGTGCTTTTCATCTCATTTTTGAACGCAGTGCATTTCTTTATCATTGTTAACTGTGGGCCGAATTTCAATTCTATGAGAAATGGTATTATTTGCAGTTAATGTGGGGTATTGTAGACTTATAACTTCATTGAAAACAGATTCCACGTCATCTTTTTGCCATTTGAACCTTATTTGAAGCAAGAACTCTCCAATTCATCACTGCATTTTTAAAATCTTTGTAGTGGTGAGGGTTCGTTTTATCAGAGTGCTATTCAATGAAACCAAAAATAAATTAAGGACCAAATTCGTCCTGTATGTGATCAAAATGCTATCTTTTTACAAAGTTCCTTTTTATGAAATTGTTGTAGATATTCATTTCTGACTGACAAATTAGGAACCTCTGCTCACTATATAAGATTATCACATTTTCAGCCACAGGGGAATGTTGTATTCAAATATGTTAACCTTAAACAAATATAGTTTTTAACAAGGTATAGACATATGAGGAGAGAGCCAAGACTTGAAACCCTTTCTGCTTCATATACTGCCAAGTTAACAGCTGGTAAAACTGCCATCAAAGCTATCAAGACTACCACAGCAATCAAAGACAAATAACATAACTACCCAGTGATAACAGAGGAACTAATGGATACGATGAAGACACTTGCCATTATAGAAGTCAAGTTGAGATTATTGTTTTCTTCAGTAAATCAGATGTAATTTGTCTAATGACGGAAAACATGTCATTCTTGGAAGAGCTCATTTCGCTAAACCGTCAACTCGCGACATCTCATCAACAACAGGCGTCAGGAGAAATACTCTTTAATGACGTTGACTGATGGTGGTGGCATTATAGATGGCGAATCGGCAGAATTTAAAATTCATTAGCCATTGGACACCGTCCCAGTCTCTGAATGGTCAACAGAACCGCGTGACAACATCATGCTTCTGGCTTCTATATCGAGCAGAGTAACGGTTTCAAATGTAGGACTGTCTCAGTTAGTGATGTACTGTGAAAGCATTACTTTTTAGTACAAATGACCAATAAAAGTCATTTAATATGGAACGAAAACTCAAAGCTACGTAATTATGACAAGCTCATTTTACCAAGCTGTACTACCATATAATCAAATCACGTTCATATATTTAGCACACTGTCAGTAACCATAATATAACGAATAAATTGACATACAGAATTAAGAAATGTATTCATGTGGTGTTCAGTACAACTAGGAAAATATTATTGTTGAGATTTTCCTAAAACATTTTCACTTCATTTAGACAAACATAAACACACGGATAAATACAGTAAAACCACTTCCATCCAACTTATGAACGCTGCCCAAATCGATATGACACTGGTCATCAGCTTTTCAGTGTTTCTTTGCATAGCTTGTCCAGTTAGATAGAGCATCTGTATAACAGAAGTGAAATAAAATGAAATAATGAGACATAAAATTATGCATATACATGACACATGGGATTAACAATCTCCCTAAACATATTAGTGTTAGTTAAGTACATTGTAAACGCAGTGGTTGTCATCATAAATATATTTTAAGATGGATAAACTAGCACCAGTGTTGAATCGTAATGTAATGTAATGTGCGTCGGTGGCACAGCGGTTAGGACTCTCGCCGATCATGCACATGGTCCGGGGTTCGATCCCCTGCCGACGCACACCTGATATCTATCAGGTGTGCGTCGGCAGGGGATCGAACCTGCAAAAATTGGGCTACTGATATCACATGCTGAAAATTCCATACCTGCATCAAAAACATTCGGTGTGGAATCAAGTTGTAATCAAAAATATAAAAAGAAATAGAAAAAATATATATGATACGTCCGAAAAATTCCCTTGTAGATATCATTTGACAGAGCAGACATCAATATTCAATAATGATTATAAATATTTGTGACTTACTAATATAAATGTCAATCCGAAAGTCACGCCAGATACTATTCGTACTGTCGTCTGCTAGGAAAAGATAAGAATAAATAATTTAATAACAGTTTATCAAACGTGTATTATCGGTATATCTCGCTTGTTAAATAACAAAATGTTCTGTCTTCGGAACTTATCAGCGTATGAATTTCAGCAAATGCTCAATTGTCAGTCACATTCATTCCCTACACACTCAAATATTCAAATTTGTTGAAATTCATGGGTCTTACAATCAAATGAATGTAACCCATAAACAATAATGTAGCGAGATCCATGATAGCGTGTAAGGATTCCGTCTTTACAATCAGTTGTTACATCTTGAAGAATTAAACAAAATGATCCAATATCTGAAATAATGGTATTCCAAGAAGATTCTCAATTCGCAAATAATTTCATTATTTATTTATGTATTCATTTATTTATTCGAGGTCTCAATGCCAGCATATAATTTTCCTTTGCATATATGCAGTAATAGTAACACTGTATCATGGGTCCTTATACCAAGTATAACGTGGTACATTTAATTCAATAATTCATACTGACATTTCGAGGTATGTGTCTGACAATATTTCACCTTGAGAAATTCTAAACTCCCTTCTCGGACAAACAAGTTTGGGAAGACTATGAGTCAAGTAAGCTGCTCAGCACAAATAAATTGTCAAATTCAAAGGCTACTTACTTGAGTGAAGTGTCCTATAATAAGCAGAATGCAGCTCAGAGCTCCCAAACCGATTGTGACGTATACTATCGTCATGTTCACTTTCTTTTTCTGCCGTTTCAATTTATATCCAAGTATCAATGCTGTCGTAGCAAAAGCCAACGCTACGAACCATGCTAGTAGGGTCCACAATTTTAGGGATAAAGTTATGTTAGCATAAGCAAAGGACCATGTGAACACCTGAAAGATTTATGAATTAAAGTAAGTCTATTTTTCACGAATAAATATTCACAGCAATACAGTTACGATAATTAATGTGCGAAAATTCGATTACATGTAATTTATCAATAAGTTATCACTTTTCGTATATTCACTCCGTCAATCTAGTAACACATCAGTTTAGAACACTTTCATTACTGATTTCTTGAGTCTCATTGTCAACCACTCACTGGCTACATCTGGTTTGAATGATAATGGCATAGGTAAGGCATTGTCCTAGGTTGTATATGCACAGATCATTTTCAGCTGTTGTCATTGTAGAGAGTTTGGAGTGTTTATGTGATTGCAGATTCCAATACACATATGTTAAAGAAGTCTTGAGGTGAGGAATTTGTATTCAACTGTTACTTATTGAAATATCAACATTCTTACACAGTCACTTTTCCTAAAAGTTTAAAGATCGGTGAACAATAAGGAATACATTATTCTGTAAGGTACTACTGCCATCTTGTTATCCTCACTGAAGACATTGGTCACTGCTCAGCATGGAACTGATCCAATTATATATTAGCTGGATTTGTTTCATGTCTACTAGAAATGCTGGTTTTATTTATAAATTTATGTGTATTTAATTGCGTTTTTGTGAAAGTACATCACACTGACCTGCGGGAAAATCAAACTTACAGTCAATGAAATGAGGATATAATTCATCAGTGGAATCGTGTGAATTTTCTCGACAAGCATCAATACTGCTATGGAGATTACACCGACTGCACTGAAATGAGAATAGTAGATGTTCTTAGTCAATTTATATTGGTTGTTTCTAATTGTATGGTGAATATTGCAATAACCGAATTAAATAACTCTTTAGCTTGTCATAGTAAAGTAACTAGTGAAGTCTGATTGCTCACAAATAGGAAATAACATACTGTTATTATTCAAATGTTTCAGAAAACGGAATTTATCAATATACTTTGGACAACTCACAAGAAGGTGAGTAGAACGTACACTCCAGCGTACAGTTTTTGAAGGACTTCCCTGAAGAAGAGATGCATAGAAAAGTAATTACAATGCAGTCTTACACGTTCGCCATCAACACCGTAATAATCACCGTCACTGCAACCATTGTTGACCAACAAATGAAGAACTTGATGTAAATGTAAAAGACATTTTTAGTTTTAATTACTGAAGTGCTTACCAATTGAGTAAAGCTCCTCTGAGAAGTTGTATCATTCATTTTCTTATGGATCATAGCACTGTCACTATTTTTTCACTGACACTTGTGTGATGTTTCTTTTGTATTCACTATTTTGAAATAAATCCATAAAACCATGATTCAGAAGAACATTAGCTTAACTCAGTTAATGCTGTTTGAAATCAAATTCTGAAAAAATATACCCACTTGAATGAATTTTGTATGAAACGCTAATGGAATATATTTTTTAAGAAAATATTACCAATCAGAATCGTATTTGAGTGTGAAAATCTGAAAGAAGAGTACTGTATCTCATTCTGTGAGACTGCGTCCAATAATTCAGAAAATATGAGATTTCCTTAAATGGTGTGTTGTCAAATGCCTTACTCAAACACGAAACTTGTATCCATGCAGTAAGATATTCACTGCTAATAGTAGTGATTAGCTTAACACGATTGAGATACAATTGAAGACCAATAAAACACTCTTCTTTGAGAAATAACCAAAAAACAAATTCTATCAAGAATTCCTATTACATTAACACATTGACAAACGGATGGTTCCGTGTGTCTGGATACTCTCAGCACAAAGTTGCAATCTAGTGATCGATGAGATAAGGTAGTGTGTTCAGTTCCAACTTCAACTGTGAAAGTAATTCATCTTTACAATTTGATAAATTAAATACCTAGGCGTCATTCTATCTGCTGATCTCTCCTGGTCGTCTCATATCCTAGCAATTTCTAAGAAAATATTCCGTCTTACCTTCTACATTAAGAAGTTAAAACATTCTGCAATAACCCAACCCTTACTCCTACAATTCGTTAATTCTCGCATCCTGCCTATTATTCTTTATTGTTACCCCTTAGTTTTTCCCGGGCTACTGAAGAAAGACTATAACATATTACGCAGGATGTTAAAGGTTGTCAGCAGGGTAAGCAACGTACCACTTAGACAGATTGTCAATATTCTGGTCGACAGGCACATGGACTCATGTTAAAAATGGACCAAGTCCATTTTATCTAACTCACACCACCCTCTTCACTCACAGCTCTCCCTTTGCATCTCATCAGGCAAAACCAGAAGCCTATATAGAAAACTATATGCCCGCACTAGCAAGTACAGAAACTCAACCATACCCTACTTAGCTCGTGTTGTGTGTGATAAAGAAAGCATTAGGCGTGACACGTATAATTCATGTAATATTCAGTTGAACAACTAGATCTCGTCTTTCCAGCTCATATCATTTTTGGGTACAACATTTTCTTTCTTTCTTTTCCTTTTCTCTCTCTTTTTTCCGTTATGTGCTGCTTTGTTTCTTTCTCTCGCTTACGCCAGTAAATATGACAGCTCCTACTTTTCTAACACCTTCAAACACTGTTCAACTTTGGCTTTGCTACCGACACGCCAATATGTTATTGTCATAATGAACTGAGATTTCCTTAATCTATGTAGAATTCTATTTATTGATAATGTACTAAGTGGATGCAATACTGTAGTAAAAATTCTGAGACTTCCATTCTGTATCACATGTACTGTTTTGGAATAAAGCAAATTATTATTATTAATATTAAAAAACCGAACAATATAAGAGGATAGTTAATCTCACATGACTTCAAATTAGGCAACGTTCTTTGTTTATTCAGTGATATATAAATATATATATATATATGTAAATATATATATGTTTACCCATTGTTATATACGTATATGTTCGTTTGTGGTATTCATCACAAAACAAGTGAGGGGGAGGTTGTAAGTTCCAATGTACTTTGAACTAATGTTCATATCTCCATGATATCCTGATCTGCATTAGTGACTACCGTTTCCTTGTGTACACAGAAACTGGGTTTGTAAACTCTGATTCCAATTATTATCTTAAGTTTAATCTTTTATGCTCTCTGCCCCTTATCTTCGTCAACCTGCAGTTCTGCATGACTGATTCCATTTTATTTTATTTACTTTTATGAAATAAATAAAAAAAATAAATAATGAATCTTGCACTATTGATGTTTGTTCCTTATTTTAAATGCGTATCGTGACACGTTTTCACCTCAGAAGTATTTGTCCAGTTTACCTCCTCCTTCCAAGTCGAGAATAAGAGGAAAGATTTAGCTTAGTAAAATCTGCCCTATCTATGCAGAAATTTAAAGATATCAAATATAAAAATATAAAAAACTTATTTCTTTCTGGAATCGGAGAGACGGAATAACACGAATTGGTGAACGCCTATGGGTGACCAGTCACCCTATACGTCTTTCCCTTTCGATGAAAGCGAACATATGCATGGGGATATGAAACGTTCTCAGGGTGTTCAAAGCCGGAAAATCGAATGGTATGATACAAAAGTGCTAGGAATCCATAAGAGCAAGTTGAATGGATTAGGACTCGCCAAATAGTTATGTGGAGAGTCAAAAATCAACTTCGGTTGCTCACAGCACAACCAGGAGATCACTGAGGGAGTGGCTATCGTAGTGCAACCGACAGATGCCAAAGCATTTATGCATTGGGAACCAATAACCTCCAGGATAATGACAGGAAGATTCAATTCGAAAAATATGGAAGTTACAGTTATCCGATTCTTTGTGCTTATGAACAGAACAGCCTCAGTGAAAAGGAAAGGAGAATTCAACAGACAAATGATAACAGTAACCAATAAAATCTCAAATGGCGATATCAAAATTTGTATTGGGCGATATGAATGCTGAATTGTAAGAAAACAACCCTTTAACACAATTAACCATGTGCCGTTGGCGAAACGAATGAGAATGGAGAACTCCTCACAGAAATCTGTACTTTCAGTGGTTTTGTGATTGGAGGTAGCGTGAAGGGAAACAAGAAAATACGCAGGACGACATGGGTTCCATCTGACAGACACGTCAAAAATTAGATAGAATTCATTTCAATCTCGAGACGCAAACATCTGGACATAAAACTGAGAAGACGATTTGATATGGGCTAAGATGCTTATTTAGTACGATTAACAATCTAAGGGATGTTGAAAGCCCGCAAAACAACAGGAGGCTAGACACAGTTTAATAATCAGCACTCAGAAACTAAGAATGAAACTGTCGAAGATACCTTCACCGGAAACATTAAGTAGAATCAGCGAAGTAACTGAAAAGCTCTGAGAGAGATTTCGAAGAAAACCTCTATATCTATCCTAAAGAAGAAAAGGAAGAGTCAAGACAATGGATCGCTTTCTACAAACTCATGGAAAGTAATAGAGTCAGGATGGATGGTGAAGGAGAAACTGAATCAATGCAAAGATAGTAAAGGTAGGAGAAAATAAATTCAGTTTACAACACACAGAGTGAAGAAGTCAAGAAGAAGGTTAAGATTAGTGGGAGACAACCCTACAACACAATTACAACTGAATCAGAACAGTTTGGGGGTAAAGAGACATCAGAACACTGTTTCAGATAACCTTTCCGTTATCAGAGAAGACTTAAACAGATGGAAGGAAAGAGGCAAGGGGAAGAGAACTAAGCTATCAAAGAACAGAAGCAAATGAAATAGCTGAACCAATCACTACCCAGAGATAACATTAGAAGCCACAGTGCCGTCAGTCAGCATCAGTCTGCAAAAAACCGCAAATGATTTGGATGCAATAATCACACAGAAAGCTGGCTGTGATGGCAGCAAAACCAGAAGGAATTCCTCCTGAAGAGCTGCGAACGGATCCAGGGACCGTATTGAACATTCTCAAGTCACAATTACAGAAAGTTTGAAGGGAAAGAAAGGCAACTGTTAATTAGAAGAGAGGTTACCATATCGAATTACCAAAGAAGGTTGACTTATACCTCAGCAAAGGATGACGCAGAATCATGCTCCTCTCTAGTTATCAAGCTATTATTTCGTGTCTTCCTGTATGCCAAACTCTAAACAGTACAAGTTAGATTGAGAGAAGCAAACCGTGTGCGGATAAAATCGCAATGCCACACATTACCATCGAAAAGACCTTAAAATAGAAGTCAACTTCATCGAATTTAAATAGGTCTTCGACAGTACTGACCACGAAGCAATTTGAAATCTTCCTGAACATTACAGAACATCACTGCGAACCTTTACTGACCTCATTCAGCAATTACATAACAATGTCACATGTCAAGCCATCCGTAACGGAAAATAAGAAAGAAGCCTTAGGAGTGCAGACAGGAGCTGGACAATGCTACCTATTATAACACATTATGATATTCCTGATTGTGTTACACTACACTATGCGGTTGACCATGCGTGTGGAACAAGAAGACTGGGATACATTGGACCGATAAGAAGAATCTAGAAAATGTTGACTTCTCTGACGATTTGAACCTGATGTCACACAAACTGGAACCCCTGGAGGCGAAAGCCAACAAGGTGACAGAAATGTGTGGTGGAGAGGACAGAGTGTTAAGTGAATATGGAGAAGACGGGGATGGTGGATGTAACCATGAATCAATAGAAAGCTCTGGTCGGTATTGACGAGAGAATTTAGAAAGAGGTCATTTCTTTCACTTATCTTTTCAGTATCATCTCAACTGTCGAAGATCGGCATGGATGAAGATATCAAAACCAGAATCAGAAAGGTGACACAGACCTTCATGAGTCTGAAATCAGATTAAAAATCTTCTTCCATCGGTGTGGAGAATTAAATGTGGATTTTCGAAACTAATGTCAATTTAGTGATTCTGTTCAGTTCAGTGAATTAGTTTGTGCGTCGCATAAAGCGCATCGGAGAGGCTAACGGTGGGGGCTATATAGTGAAGATTGGATAGCCAGGATGCCTTAGCAGCAAAGGACTATGGGATCAAAACAATCAAGATTCAATAGCCTAACAAATATGACGAAGAAAATGGAGATCAGTCGGAGATATGCTGAGGATACTGTTGAGTGACGTCGTTTGCAAGGTCGTCGAGCAAAATCCAAATATCCAGTGACGAACTGGACGTCTGAGTGTGACATGGTGGAAATTGTGCAAGGACGAGACGTGAGTCCATGAGTAATTCTGCAGCTACCTAAAGAGGACTGTGGGAAACAGGATGAAATACAGATGTGCAGTTGAA